GGTTATCTAGAAGATATCTTGCTATTGTTGACATTAAGTAATAAATGCATTCAAACTACTAAAATTATTCTTGTGTTTAATGTTCCTAACCACTAAGAACAAAATTAAAACGATCTTTTTCTAAAAAAATTCTCTATCTATCAGTAATTTTCTTACAGCTGTCTTCATGGCCTCATTCCTCAGACTGTAGATGATAGGGTTGAGTGTTGGGGAAAGCACTGTGTAAAAGATAGAAAGTGTGAGGTCTAGAGCAGTTGTAGAGTCTGAAGTTGGCTTGAGATATGCACAGGTCCCAGCAGAGAATAAAAATGAGACCACACAGAGGTGGGGCAGGCAGGTGGAGAAGACCTTAGAGCGACCTTGCGCAGAGGGCATCCTGAGGACTATGGAGAATATCTGGATATAGGAGAGGCAAATGGCAGTGAAACAGGCAGTTCCCACCATAACCATGAGAGCAATCACTCCAACCACACCAAGGTAACCATTGGAGCAGGAGAGCTTGAGCAACTGGGGGATATCACAGAAGAACTGGTGGATGATTTTGGCCCCGCAGAATCTCATAGAGAATGTGGTTGTTGTGTACAAGATTCCTGTGATGCCTCCACTTATCCACACAGCTGTCACAGCCCACCTGCATGTTCTGGGATTCATGATGACCTCATAGTGCAGTGGGAGGCAGATGGCCACATAGCGGTCATAGGACATCACTGTGAGAATGGCGACCTCACTGCAGCCCAAGGATGCGAAGAAGAAAATCTGCAGCACACATTGGGCATAGGAAATGTATCCACTGCCTGTCAGGGAATTGTGGATAGACTGGGGAACAGTGGCAGACAGGGAAGAGAGGTCAAAAAGGGAAAGGTGTTTAAGGAAGTAACACATTGGAGATTGGAGCTGTGGGTCCAGCGTTGTGATGGTGATGATGATGAAGTTTCCTGCAAAGCCCAAAAGGTACATCAGCAAGAAGATCCAAGCATGTAGGATCTGCAGCTCCCTCTTGTCAGAGAACCCCAGGAGGCAGAAGCCACTCACTGTGGATATGTTTCTCACAATCATGTTGACAATAGAAATTGTGGAAGCAGCTGGAAAATAAAAACATGAAATGAAACACAAAGAAAGCAAAAAAAAGTATGGCTTTAATTAGCACTGTTTTGTTCAACAACTAATGGCAGAGAATCTGTGTAGTTTATCAGTTGTGCACTTCATGTGAGATTTAAATGATAAACATCAGATTCTTAAGTATTTTGGGCTCAGTGTTTTAGTAGAAAACTAGCTGCATCAGAAGGATGAGCCTGAAATCAATTTAGCAACACCGTCTCAGTAAAAAGGTGATTTACTTTATTTCCAAGGCTCAGGAATCCCTGGGGGAAGGATTGTAAGAGTCAGAACTGCTGGACAAATACAAGGAAATTGCATTGTCTGGACTCCACAGATTCATTGCACATATGAACCCACAACACAACAGAATGCACAAGGCCTGAGCAAATCCAATTCAGAGATGGGCCCAGTGTGGAAGGAGGAAATC